ACTAAAAAATGGTGAATATGCCCACAAAAGGTCTGTTCTGCTGGAAAAAAATGCGATCCCAACAGGTCTAGATGACCACCGCGTCATTGTTTTAGAATCTTTTAAACGTGATATTCGTCATCAGGAACCCAAGGTGTACTAGTCCTGTTACTCTCGAACAATTCGGATAAAGTCGATGTAAACTCTGGTACACTTCCGAAAGAATCACCCAGATGTCTTGGCATAAGCACGAAAAAATCAATTCTAGAACTGTCGAATGCATCACTATAACTATTTTACTAGATGCTCTGATACCAGTTATATCACTGATACATGTCTACATCCGATGAATGATTTTTAAAAATGGATATCCGGAATGGAAATAGTATTTTACAACATGAAACTGGGAGGAGATAAGAGTGTTGCATAAATGCTTATTCCTGAATTCATCAACCAAAAAACATAGTCCGGTCTGACTGTTGATCAGAGCATAATTTGAACTGCGCTGAAATACTGTAGAAATTTAGAACTACAAAAAACGTTTTTATTTCAAATTCTTTAATATCAATGGTAGGAAATAAAAATATGATTTAAAAAAAAGATAAGCTTTATTTATTTAACTTATCAAGCATTGTTAATATTTTGTCCTCATCAACAACGCCTGAAAAACGATCAACGACTTTTCCATTTTTAATTCCTAATACCGTTGGTACAGCTTGTATATCAAATTTGGCACTTAATTCACTAAAATTATCAATATCGATTTTAGCTCTATAAATAAAAATGAAAAAAATTGATAAAATATATTTTATATGATACGATATAGTTTACACCCCGATTCATTCAACTTACAATGTAACTTGTTGCTCTCCTTTACTTTGCTTTATATCTTTATTATAACTTGTTATAACCTTCTCCAAACGTGGCTGAAGAATTTTACACGGATTACACCTTAAATATAACAATATAAACATAATTTATCTAAGATGAGTATACACAAATCTATTATTTCCTACCATGTAGCATGAAAATCGACAATAAATGGTTTTTTACTATCAATGATTTGTTTTTGAAAATCGTCATCATCTTGCACATGAAAGATATCAGCAGATTTCAATTGTGCAGTCGTATGAAATTTTAAGTGTTTTTGTGAATTATTAAGTAATAATTGGGTATGATGTGGTACTAAATGATTGGATATCGATTGTGATAATTTACTTTGTACTATTTCTTCTTTCGGTGTCCGAGCTAATGTAAACATAAACCGCATACCATGATAAGTGGAACGCATATATCGACGAGATAAATGAGCCATTCAAATGACAAAAAAGACAAAAAAACACAATACAAATGTAATCTAAATCACAAAATAACTGATCGTTGTATCACATCATATACTAAGAAGAATGAATTACTCATACAAATGAGACTTGAGTTTATCATCAATTCAACTATAAAAAAAGTGAACACTCTATCAAATTCATAAATAATGTGTGCTGAAATGTTTTTCGTCTCATTGATAAACTAAAAATCATCAACGATTTGTCATCGACCACACTTGTATAATGGTAAAATAACGTTATGTAGACGTTTCTGATAGTAATTTAGATTTATCAAATATTGTAGTAAAACACTACAGAATAACAGTCGACTATAATATGATGAAACTTAGCCACATATTATTGTAATACAGCTGAACGTGTTTGAAATAAAAACAAAAAAAACTTTAGACAAATTCGCCTTTTCAGTTCGACTAAACTGTTTTTATGCTCAGTGTGAATTATCCCTCTTTTAAAGCAGCTGTAGCATCAATTAAAAGTTCACTTATGAGTGCTCAAGATCAACATAGGAATTGGATTTAAAGTGAAAAATACCTCAGTTTATTGAAATACTTGTTCAACGAACTAAAACTATTTAAAAATTGTATTAAATCATGCAGATTAGTAATTTTCAATGGCAATAAATGATTTTATGAAAATGATCCCTTTGGTATTACGAAAGTTTCTACAGCAATATAAAAACTATCCATTATGATTGATCTCGTCTGTTATCGCGGTTCTTTCTTTTTGAAAAAAAAGAGGAGAAAATCATAAGAAAATAGAGCATCTAGACATTATGTAGCCTAATTTTTTCTATTTTATGTTTACTCTATGTGAATATGAAACAAAACAATTTTTGATATCTTCTTACTAATCAAAGTCAGCATGTATTCTCGATATATATGCACACTTTTTTTTGTGATTAGAAATCGCAGCTAGGATGATATATTCTTTCAAAATACTATTTTAAGAAACGCAATTAATTTTTTCTATCAAATTTTCTCGTTGATCTTGTAATCATTTTTTTTTTGTCCACAAATTTGACAAATTTACCCTGGTTTTCGATACACATCAAAATAATACATTTTACTTACATATTTTTTTAAAAATGTCAATCTGATTAAAAAATGTGATGGGAAATCAGGTCAAAGTGTACAAAAAAATACAAGAGCGAAAAAGTTGAGAAAAAAGGCTATGAAGCCACAAATACAATAACACAAAAAAACCCGAAAAAGACGTTTTTCCTTTCTTATGTGTGAAGAATAGTCGCGAATCACTGGGCGTCAGTCAGAAATTTGAAAAAAATTCTCTGTTTCTGTATTTGCCACCCGTCGTACCCATCCCCAGGGCTGTTTTGAATGTATCGCAGATTCAGCATTGTAGACCGATCAATGTACCAATCATGAGCACTCGAGTACCGAAATCCTTTGTGATAAGTTTGACGAAGCCGATCTCACTGATGATTTGTCCTAGACTTTTGCCGTTATTGGCAGGTTTGCCAAGAAGAAAAACTACCGAATCGACCGGGTGTGAGGTAATGTCACAGATCGCACCGCCACTGAAACTCCAAATAAATGTAATGCTGAGTTGAGTAGTTTTCGAATAGGTGTCCTTCGGTTGGGTAAAAATGTACGTGTAGAACAATTGTATGACCTCGAAGAAGAGAATTTGGCCATGGTATATGGAATTTGTCGTGACCACAATGGTACGATTGATCGGTATGGAAAACCGTTATCCACTCGTCTGGCATTTCATTTGTGACCATGCCAGACCAAATGCAATCGAAAATGTTCCGTGGGATGCTGTTTGTGCTTTGACCTTGACCATTTCCAGTGGACATAAAGAAAAGAATTCGCCCAAAGATACTAGTCGAGACAGGGTACTACAATAACAAATTAACAAAGTAACAACTGTTCTTGTGACAAAATTAAGCGCAACAAAAAAAAAATCACACAGTTCAAAGCGTATGATAGTAATTCATTCACACGGTAACAATCATACGCGAAAATAAATAAAAATACACTTCATCACAGAAGAGAAGTAGGGATACGACTGTCATATGTGCAATACAAGTTTGAACAAATTGGAATTTGATTATGGAATTTTGGTATTTCGTTGAAGTGTTGAAGACGGTAATGATGAATATTGTCCGTTGTTGTGGTCAATTAAATAAAAATCATCTACGTCAAACTAAAAATAAAGAATGATTTAGAATAGATAATTTTACAGATAGTAAGTTAATCTCGATCTACCTAGAAGATTAACTATATTGTGTATTTTCTACGTCTACTTGAACGAACACATATTCTAGTATTTGTTCAACTCTCGAAGTAGAATTTGGCACACTTTCGACTAAATCGTTTTGACTAAATCTTTTGAACGTCCTATTTTATTGAAGGACACTTACTTTTTTCTCATTTGATTGCTCATCAATTTTTTGGAGCGTTACTTGTTGATGAAATGGTGCAAAACTATGGATAATATTTGAACCAAATGTGTCCGGTGTTCTGAGAGAAGAATACGACAATTGCTGTGACAATTGTTGAACGCTGTTAGGTGAAAAAGGTGCATTTATCATCTGAAAATAAAATAAACCACATATGAATAAAATATTTGCGATCTAAAGCGAATAATGCTCGATTTTTATTTTCTTCAAGTTACGCTTGACTAACAGACAACCGCGTGGCTTCTACTTACCATCTGTTGAATTAGATAATACGTTTGCTGATTAAACATTGCTTGAGTTGTTAGAACAACATTGTCTCGTTTCGGAGCAGTAGCAGACATGTGTATGGGCACTGGTGGAAATTGTTGTTGTTGAAAACCTGGTGGTGGAAGTAGCAGTGGATGCAAATGATGATACTGTAATAGTCAAATAACTTATGAAAGGCTTATCATAATATATTATGTTTATAGGCCTCTTCGCGGGTTGCACGGAAAAGTTTGTATAGTGACAATGGTTCAACTATTCTCCAGCATTTCGTACACAAACAACCTACGTGGTGATAATAATGTGGCTGAATTATTGAATTAGTTGTTGTCGATAATTATGAAAGTGGTTGATGTTTGAATTAAGGCTGAATGAAATTGTTATTATTTGCATTTGCACGGAATTTAAACATTTCTTGCTTGGAATGAGCATAAGTACAATGAATATCTGTTCAAGAGAAAAAATTGAGTTTTTTCAATAAAACTGCTAAAAAGAATTTAATATTGTATTACCTCTTGGACATGCTCCTTTCTGAGTGAAATCTCGACATAATGATGTTTTATATTCTGAATATGTATTTGAATTTGCATCATTGTTATTAGCATTTGATGATGTTGTTGAACGTTTAATTGTTGTAATTAATGCTTAAAATATGCTTTTAACTGATTTTAATATGTCACATGCATCAATCATGGAGACAAAGTTTGGATTAACAAGTCTTAAGATAATAATGAGTTATCACGGTTAAACTGTGCAAAGAAAAACAATTTTTAATATCGTTCAACTGGACCATACAACGCCCGTTCCCTTAATCAGAATCGCTGTTCTTTCGTACCGGTAGTTGTGTTCATCGTTGCTTGTAATAACTGAAATCGTTGACTAAATTCTGTTGTAAGCGGTAATCCACAGCACTATTATTTTGTTATATTTTCGATACATCTGATTGCAATTTTTCAATAACAGATAATATTAAACTTTTTCGTGTCATTGCCGAACCATCTTCTAATGCTAATATAATTAATTTCAATACTTCTTGCACAGCTAAAATAAAAGAAAAATCATCAACTCAAACCATAAGAGAAACATCTAAACAACAAATCTTACCTGGCCCAAGAAATCATGGTCACGACTTTTGAACGCTTCTCATAAATCTGTTACTGATTGTTGAAGAGTCTGGTGTTTCAATAGATATTCACGTAAAATTTGTTCACCCAACGAATACGCGGCTTTTATACTTCTAATACGACCATCATATTGCAAATATTGACAACTGAGTAACGATAAAACGATTAACGATTGAACGAGATAACTGTGAAACTAAATGGAACAGAAAAACAATCAGAAAGAAAATTTTCAAAATGAAGAAATTGAATGTCTCAGACAGGTACTTTCAGCTATTGGATGTTACTAGTGCATAAGAACTATTCTTTAAATGTAGAAGAAATCGTTTTACTCACATCGAATTAACATAGTACAAACATTCCCGAAATTTTAAATACAAGAATATGCTGAAAACGATCTTTATTACAGAAGAGTGTTGTTTTTCAACTCACACACAATCACATACCATGTGGTTTTATTAAGTTTTGAATATCTTGTAGTAATAATTGAGTTGAAATGAAATATAATTTTTATTCTTTATTTAAATTTGTATACATAAGACAATCGTTATATTCCATTTCACCACCATTTCCACTAGCCTAAACATAAAAAATACATGAATAATCATATAAAAAAGAAAATATAAGGTAAAATTACCTCATTATCACCACCACTATCATCCAGTAAAAATGTTAATAATGAATAATTAGTTGGAAGATTTTTTGCAATTGTACTGCAGTGTAACTGACATTGATTTAGACTTACTGATGTAGATGATAGTTGTCGTGAACAAGTTGTACATACTGATTGACCACAAATCAATGTTATCGGTTTACGACAATGCCGATTAAAATCATTTGAACAATTCCTTAGTTTCTGTGCTTGCATGTAGACACCAGTTCTAACTCTAACTAAAGAACTCATAGAAAATTCTAAAAGTCTTAAGTTAATACCACCCACGCATGCTGTTCCACGAGCCACATTACAACCCGCTGACTTTCAAACTATCAGCGCTACTTTGAAAAAATAATTACGGGTCCACGGGACCGGAACCAAAAAAGTTTGGTCCCGCAGGCCTCTAATGTAAAGAGAAGCAAAGAGAATTGCTTGTTCTCTTTCCTTTTTGCATGTGTCCTTATGTTCTACATACAGATTTCTGTATGGGACATTAAAAAGAAGGAGATAAAGCGCTGTACGCTAAAGTTCTAATAGAGTTTTCTCTTTTAGTGTATCTTGATCTTTTCTTGATGTATCGCACACGTCAGACATAAGGATACATAGAGAAAGGAAGCATAATCTGCATGCTTTCTTCACCTTCATTTTCTTCTTCGTCTTCTTCTTTAAACTTCCTTTCTGTATGTATCCTTATGTCTGACGTATGCGATACATCAAGAAAAGATCAAGATACGCTAAAAGAGAAAACTCTAATAAGTTTTCGAAATACTGAACAATTTGGTGTTAAAATAGAAACAGGCCCTATACCATAGGTCTAAGACCTACTTAAGTACGTGATATTAAAGTGCTACAGAACTCATGAAAACTCAGGTTTGTTATCTAGGATAAATTATCCAGCCTCAACTTACACCCGTTAGCTGAGTTGGTGCATAAATACATTGTAGTACAATGTTCCAAGTTGGAAAAACGTCGACCAACCGTGAATATTTCAGAATCCATGCAGCTTGGCGTACTTGAGAAGATACATAAGTGTAGGTCTCATTAACCATACTCTTCCCGGTCACGACAACGACACAACTGGGTCATTTTAGCCTTGCGAGCGTCTTTTTTCTTCCGTGTTCAACAGTCCGAACCTTACTCGAACAAGGCTCGCCGTTCGCCTTAGAAAATTTCTGCCTATGGGCGCTATCAACTTATTTTTAACTTTCATCATCCTCAGACGCTCGTTTTCACAACTTTTTTTCTCTCTAATGAGTAGCTAATTTAGTCTTCCCCGATTCGTTCGAGTAGAATGTTATCTTTTATTTTTTCTCTCTATGGTATGTGGACTGAGCACGCAAAAGCATAGTGGAAAATGTAATCAATAGCAGAATGCGTCTATGTCAGCGACTGCCAATAGTATCTGGCAAAAATGGCCGCCGATGATAATATTTTTTCTTTCCTTTCTCGCTGTTCGTTGAATAAGAATTTATGCAATGTCTTTGCAGTTCAACAGATGTCGCATGATTTCGAACATGATCTTCGATCGCAGATATTGCATGTAGTAAAAAGCATTTTCTTAACTTATATTTGAAGTAATTTCGTCGGATGAA